AACTCCTGACTTCATGCATTTGACATTTTGTGATAAACCAACTTTTATATGTGTCTTACAAGAAGCAACACTTTAAGTAAAATCAGTAATTAATGAAACTGCACTACAGAGGACACTGACAAAGGTCTGAGTTGATTTTGAGACCTAAAGCGAAACTGTGTCTAATTATAGTAACAGTTTTAGCATAACCAATTAGTGCAATTTACTTACAGTGCAACTAATTTCGAAACACAGCTTGCTATAGCCCTGATGTTTGCATTCATTTCTGTGGTAAGTTTGGTCATTTAAAGATTTTCCATTCTGGTGTGGTTTTTTGAAGCACACTTTGAGAGCATCAACACATACTTTCATCATTAAACAGAAGAACAACAACACGATTTATGACTCATTCATATACAATGCTTCTAGATCAAAATAAAGTGACAGTAAAAAAGTAAAAAACTCCCATTGCCCAAGGGGCTCTCTATGTCTGTAAGTTGGTGATTCTTCCTAACACACCCTTGTGTACTGGCTCAGACTCTCCAAATGAAACTTGTGCAACTCCTAAATGGCACCAAGTGCTATCTCTTGTAACATATCTCAGGCGCACCAAGTGGTTTGGTAATTACACAGCAGTCTTTCAGCAAAGCAGAGCTCCTCTGATTATGCAGTTCCTTACCTTTTTGAAACAGATTATCTCCCTTGGCAAGACCATTTTAAAATGTAACTTAAACCCCCAAGTATTAAAATATCCATAAATAATCCTACATAATAGCAGACTACATTGTCAAAGCTTCTGATTATTGGTAACTTCTACTGAAATGGGAACCAACTCATTTTAGTCTAGCAATTTGAACATTTTAGCCCTAAGCTTCTGTAATCAGCATTCACATTGAAGTCAGAGAAAAAAAGAAAAAGTTTATTACACCACACGTAAAGAGAAACTTGAGACATGTAGCACAGCCTCTGATGCTTTCTCCCAAGGCTGAAAACACTGAACTCCCACTCTGTTCCAAACAAAATCATTGCTACTCCTGTCCAAAAGCAACTACATTGGCTCTCTACTGAACAATCCCTGTGGCAGAGGAACAGCAGCAGTTCATGCTTCTATTGGAGCAACACCTCTTCCTCTTTAACCTGAAGCACAGTGCCAGTGAGTTAAAACAAAGACACATAAAGCCTTCTTGAGTAATAAAATTCATACCAAAACAATGAAAATAAGATTTTTCTGAAGTAGGGGATTCAAATGTCACGTGAATGGAAAAAACCTCTTATATCACCAAAAATGCAGGAAAAATTACGTGCAGCAAGTTAATCAGTTCTTTGACCTTGTCCTAAACTTTTAGGTACAGAATACTAATGAGAATAGCATGTTTCATCCTTGTCTTTCCCCTTTTGTTCTATAAGTGGCAATAATGTACTATGCATTATGACTAGGAAAGGTCAAAGAAAGGGATAGGGACCAGAAAGAATACATGTGAAGAGAAATAACACAAAGGGATTTCCACAGATTGAAACATGAAATATTTTTTAATTGAAAAGTACTATATATATTTGCACTTTATATGCATGTGTTTTTTGAGTCAAACTGTCCTGACTTCAAAGAGATATTATTTTTTTATTTCTAAGATTCCAGTTTAAAATCAGATTGCATAAAGAGGAAAACACCCAAGTATTTTCATTGTTAAGGATTTGGTGCACTTTGTCACCTGCAATCCCACATCTGTTGTGCTACCTGCAATCCCAGCATGTAATTTATTTAAGATGACCCAACAAGACAAATGCTGACATTTTCAGCAAGACATCTATTCAATACTAATCTTACAGACGCTACTCAATCGAGCGTGCTCTCACATTCAGCCAATTTCTTTCTGGCACTCTGCTCCAGTGACTGATTGAGAAATTAGTCTCAGCAGATGAAATCATTATTACTTGCTGTACCTGCACCCAACTAGGAACATCTGAGACAAGACAGACTGTTCAAACCCATCTTTCCCAACCATTAATTCCTAAAAACGTTCCACTGTAGAACAGAAATGCATTCTGCTCTCTTCCTGCCACCTGAGAACAAGACTTAAGATTTCACTAATTACAAAAATTAATTATTTTGCATTTTACCAAAAGTGAAAATGGTAATACAGGTAATATTATATCTTTAAATGCTGGGAGTTTAGTAAGAAAGTGTAAAAAATCTATTATGTTAATCATCACAGCAACTTAACTATTTCACTTCTGCACTTGGAGAATTTTTGGCTTTTGAAGACTGATTTGGTAAATCTGTTGAATGTAAATACTCACCTGAATATTATCTCAAATCCTTTAGGAACACATTTTATTTCCATCCAAAGCACTTTTTATTCTCTACTTAAATCTGAATCTCTTTTCCTTTTTTTTCCCCTATTTTATACTGCTATGATCCCTATCTCAAAAAAAAAAAAAAAAAATCAAGTTTCAAACCAATAAAGAGCAAAGAAAGAAAAGAAGATCCTGAGGATATTAATATAGGAATTTCTAAATGTTTCTAACTTTTATGTATTTATTTGTAGCTTACATCATACAGAAAAATAATTTGAAAAAATGCTATTCATTTCCATCGTTACTGGTGTCAACTCTCAGTTTGATCCTGCAAATCTCTATACCTTAAACAAACCTTAAGGAATCTCTAAGTTAACAGATCAAAACTCTAAAGCAGCAACACAACAAATGGAGCAATAATAAGGGTTTTGCTCTCTCTCACGACTTCCTAGCAGTCTAAAATTAAAGTCCTATATGATGTATATCAAGCATGACTTTCATGGTTATTCTAAAACCTGTGCATGGAAAATTTTCCTTACTTGGACCTCCACTTTCCTATCTCAAAGGATAAAGTAGGCATGCCCTAATAACATTATCTCAATCCACTTGAAAAGCCCTCTTAATTCTTATTAAAACAATCTAATCTGCTTGAGGCAAGATTTTGGTTTTATTTAGAATACTAAACCTTATCTAATTAAGTGCAATATTAGGATGTTAACTAATATACACAAGCTTTTAAGAGTCCAGTGGGCACAAACATCAATCCATACTAACTGAAGCCTGGACCCCAGTGCCATAGTTAGCCCAACAGGCCACACTTCCCTACATCCCTGCTCCCAAGAGTCATACATCCTGCCCAATTTCTGGTAATGGGCTTACCTGGGGTGGATGGGACCCACTATTTTATCCTCATTAAGAACCAAGTGGAAGGTCACAACCATTGCTCAGTGTTTAAACCAGTTCTAATTTCACTGCCAACAAGAAGATGGTTTTCCTTTTCCCTGAGAACCTAACTAGGCAGACAGAGAACTTACTATACTGCAAAAAGAAAACACATCCACAATTTTAGTATTGGACTTTAGCTGGTAGGACTTTTGAGTTGCACCCACTTTGCTGCGCTGCTCAGCCATCCCAGTTTCCCAGTTTTACTTTCAGCTTTCTGTGGAGTTATCTTCAACTGAAACATAAATCACTGAAAAGACTGGGCTTGCCTTCAGTTTTGTCAAGCTCATCAGTCCACTGATGTATTTACTGAAATCAGTGGGACTTGGGGCTTCCAAGATAGAGCCTAAAGATTCTCCTAATGTTTGTTTTAATCAGCAAGACTAGCCCAGGACAGTTTAAGCATAAGCACCTAACCTAATTCAAGAACTACATTCAGTGAATGGAAACACATGATGGTTATTAACCCCTTCAAGAACAAAATTGCTAAAAACCCCCATAATTAAATAATAAAAATCTCTGTTTATCAGCAGCCAAGCACAATCTCACATATACAGTCCACTACTCAGTTACAGTATACTGATGTGCTTTAAATATGGACAAACTACTCATGTAACATAAGCTACCCTCTTTCTGGCAAATTCCACTCAGAAAGCTAAATATATACTGTTCGTCTTTGTATACCAGAGTATCCAGCCAGCTGGTGCAGAAAGTAAACCAGCTTACATTTTTCACCAGAGAGGTAAGGAAAAAAAAAAAGAGTAAGAGAACAAGCACTTTTTAATTTCACTTGATGATTGATAACCAGTATGCACAAACACACAGTGTAAGATTTCTGAGTCCTACAGACCTATGTAAAATCATCCAAACACCAGACCCGAGATGAAAATTAAGGGGCAAAAAGACAGAACATTTACTCAATGCTCTGGTTTTCAACTTTTAGTGAGTTCTTAATTTATTAGTAATAACTTGTTTTTCTTGGAGGGGCTTCAGAAAAGGCTGGGAGACTTTTTTTAAGCATCAGCTTAAAAATACTTACAACTATTCTTAAATGCCAGCTTAAGAAATGTATAAATAAAATTGAACATTAAGACCTCTAAACTTGGAGAGACATGCTCAGAACAGGAAATGATAGTTTGTTAATAAAGAAAGGTAAATCATTCTCTAGGCTTCCGGTGGGAAACTTGGCAGGGAAAGGATTTTGACCTCAGTGGAAGGTAACTGCCACAAATGACAAATCAAGCAACTTTCTTCTTACAAGTGAGGCAAATGTTTGACATAAGGCTGGACTGCATTCAGATCTATCATTCCCTGTGGCATACTCTTCTAACTTTAACAAATAATCCTGCAAGCTTTTCGCATTGACAGTATTAATTACATTTTTTTCCTCCTCTCTCTCACTGAGTAAAGCCATGCAAGCCTAACATTTCTCGTGAATGATTACTTATTTCCTATTTGAAGCACAAAAGCTCATCACTTATAGAATAGGTCAAGCTTTCAGTGCCTATTAGTCCTAGTCTGGAATGAATTAATGCATCTTCCTATGTTCATTTTCCTTTTCTCTTGTAGGAACAGTATATGGGACATTTGTGGAAAGGAAGGGAGCAAAAATCCTGCACTGTTTTCAGGTAAAGAAGTCAACAAGAAGAAAAGAATACACTTAAAAATCTCATTTTGGTTTCACATTAGGCTCACTGTGACTACAGCACTGTGAAGTTTGCAATTGCAAGTATCAATTCTTCCACCTCAGAACAATAAATGGGAAAAAATGACAAGTAGCCCAGTTTAATTTCAAACGTTAATATATTTTCTATTTTATAGTGAACATATGCATCATTCACCCCTTATTTGCAGCAACTATGACGTCCTCATAAAAAGGGGTGACATTTGTAAGATGCCTCTTAAAATAAATATTTCTTTTTATAAAATAATAAAACTTCAAATAAATATTCTTTACACTAAACAATATGTTGAAAAAATTAGAAAATAAAGGCTGAATTTTACTGTAACTGTACAATATACATGAAGTCCAAAGGGAAATCAAAGTCTTGTAATAGAAGGTTTCCGTAAGACAAAATACAATCTAAAAACATACTGATTGATTCACATTCTTCCGAATGTACAACATATTAGTATAATATTTTGTGACTGTGCCATGTCTTATGACAGCACTTACTTTTCACAGTTGAAAATATTATTGTATATACAAAAATATAGCACATTATCTCTGGCAGAAAACAATGAAAAAAAAAGGAGTCATTTGCTAATTTACAAATTTTGCAAGTACTATTCACAAACAATAGAGTTGCCTAGGAGTGTCTGTGTTGCTTTAGCTTATGCAATATGTGGGTCACAATGTACTGCATCCCTTTTTTTCCCCTGTATGCCACTAGCTGGATTCTAACAAGCGTATCAGTTAAGATGGCACACACACAGAAAAGCATTTCACTGCAAACAGCAAAGTACATCCCCAACCCTTCTACTACAGTGCCAAGACCATAGCTGCTTAGTTGGTTGCATATGTACGTTAAAATAATAATCCTTGTTACTTTAGTATTTCTGGCTAGCGATGCTATGTTGGCTTTTCAAAGTTCCTGGGGGGTATGCTGGGAACTTTGCAGCAAACGGTGTTGGAGTGTTTGCAGCGGCACCCAGGCCGATTTACCCGGTCGTAACAGCCCTGGCACAACTTGAGGCAACCCTTGGCTGGTAGGTAACACCACAAGCAAGGCAGAAAGAGGGACACTACACCCATGGCGGACCACCTAGTGCAGCAATGTGACTGACTGCAGGAGCAGGGGTTGTCAGCACAGTTGTCCTCGTCATCATTAGAGCAGTGATAGAAGAGGCCCTTCACACAGCAAACACAAGTCCCGTAATCAACCACGTTCTGGGCTGAGCAAAGACACTGCTTGTCACAGATCCAGCATGAGGGCAGGGTCCTTGGATAAGTGCACTCCTTACACTTACACTTTCCACAGTCCTCACACCTGTAGCTGTGCGCTCCCAAGTCTTCTTTGCTCAGTGGCTTCAGCTCACTTGGCTTGAGCTCAGACTTGGGCTGCATCCGGACTATCCCATCAGCAACTGGCCCCGAAGATGATCCCAGAAGTCTCTGCTCTGAGGAATTACTGCTCGTACTGGTCCTCGTACTGCTCCGTGAGCCCGTGCTGACTGTGCTGATGGACCGGGACAGAGGCGCTCGAGGAGATGCGTGCGTTTGCGTGTGCTGGATCCGGCTAACATGGCGATGCTCAGGCAAGCCGTGGGGCCTTTCATTTTTGGGTTGGGCTGTTACCCGAGGAGAAGACTTGACCCCCGGCCGTGGAGCCACTGTAGGTCCCTCTGTGTATTCATTAGTGTTTCGGATGGCTCTGATCTGGTCCAAGGACAAGACGTGGACCTGCTGCATCAGGACATCCCGCAGGTCGGGCTCCCCGTGCGGCCGCCCACTGTCACGCCGAGCCTGTAGTAAGGGCTGCGACCCACTGCCGTGCTGAGTCTCCATCAGTGCCCAGAAGCTTGCTCACCCCGCCAGGCTTAGAACACATCTGAAATCCTGGAGCAAAAAAGAGAGGATTCACTATTGAAACACATCTCATGCTCTCTCCAGCAGTTTTTCAAGCCTGCAGGACCCCACAGCACCGCAGACAATCAAGTAATGCATCAGCCATTAAATAAAGCAGTCACGTCTGGGACAAGCACTGGCACCGGTCAGCTGAGTGACCAAATTCCCTTGGCCTGTTCTGCCTACTGCTGTGGAGAGCTTAAGGACCTTTAAGAATCCCTAGGAGTCTTTCCTAGGACCATGCAACTTAACTTGTGGCTCTGGGAAGTCTAGGTATTACTCCTGCTGACTGAGGCTTCTCAGGCCATCTTCTGGTTAGACCATGGCCTTTAAAGTGATTACATTTCAGCCACTTGAAGTGACACTTCTTTTCACATCAGGCTACTGAAAACCTTATACTAAAAAAAAAAAAAAAAAAAAAACAAACTATCCTGCAAGTATTTAGCAAGTGTAATGTGACCTGCTGATGACAGACATATAATTCTCCAATTTTGTTTCAAACTGGATAATATTTTGGTAGGCTAGTCTCTTTACACATTAAACTTTACATGATGTAAATAGGAAATTTTAGTTTAATACCAATGGTCCCAAGAAAAACACTAAATAGCAATAAAATGTTTGAGGTTAGACATTAAATGAGTTAGTGCTACCAAAAACTTCAACAGCACAAGTAAAAATATCTCTCTCCAGTATTTTAGTGTGTGTCATACTGGTGCACACCACTGTGATTGTTATTTTAAGGCTCAAAACTACAAAAGCAATGTTACCACAGTTGTTTGGTTGTTGTTTTCTTTTTATGTGTAAAAAATTCCACAGACTACATTTCAAATTGTAAATATTATCAAGAGTGGCTTGTGGGATAGAGGCATGCATAACAGAATCAAATAATGCCAGCATCCAAGACATCTACTTGATTGTGAATATTACTTGAAAGGATTGTTAACTACAAAGTAGAAATGCAGACTATAGAATTTAAATGAAAAGCCAGTAAAAGACACAGAAGATGAGAACCTGTAAATAACTTCCACACTCAAATATGCGCAAGTTTCAAATACTGCCCTGTAAATTAGTTAATATTTGTTTTGCCTTTATCATATCTTAAAGTGGCTCCAAAATCCAATTACCTATACAAAAATCCAGAACAATATTCTACAATTAAAACCCAAGCAGGAACCAGACTTCTTACAAGGACCACACAATGTCTTCAATTATACCTAGAAAGAGCACCATAGTGTTACTCTGTACACATCAGTTACCAACAATAATACTGTACTGCAGAATAGTAAAATATAGCCAAACAGTTTAACAAAGAGTATCTCAAGACACAGGCTTTATTCTAACACCAATGCAAAACATTTAACCTTTTAACTCCTGGCTCCCCTCCTTCAAGTGGTTTTTTTTTCGTAAAAAAAAATTAAATACATATAGAAAAATCTCTAACTCTTAAGAGTGATCACTTATTTTAAATATTGCTAAATCCTGGTTTTGGACACAGGATGTATGTTACGGTGCTCCCTCTCCCCCCTCCCCGTCCATATCCCCCCCAAAAAGTCTTGCAAACTTAAACTTGGCTTGAAGTATTGCTTACACTTTTTTTTTTCTTTCAAATTAAAACCTCTGCCACGCCAAAAGTTTCAACCAACAGCCTAAGTAGATGTTCACCTCCTCTGAAACTATCTGGAGATAGGAAATAATAGAAAATAAAATGCTTTCCCGACTCTAGAGAGAAATTGGCAGCCCTATGTCTCCTCCGCGTCCAGGCTTCCCCCGGCCCCGGGCAGCCTGGAGGGTACGCCGGCTCAGCCCCTGCCTCTCCAGAAATGACAACCCACTGCAAAAGCAAAGCTGACCCTGACCTGAAGGCGCTTCAGACGACCCCGGGATCGGTGTCGGAGCCCCCCTCAGACGCCAAGGTGGGAGCTGGAGAAGCAGCCTCCGGCCCCCGCTTCCCTCCCCGCCTTTTTGAATGCCTCCCGCAGCTCTGAGTGCTGGCAGGGCGCTGGGAGCGCCAGTGAATGTAGCCCCGCAGAGCCAATGAGCTGGGACCGGATGCGATATATCCTCTGGGACAACAACTGCTCTGTTCCTCCTCAGATCCACATGACGCCATTTACTGCTGCTTTTGCAGAGAGATCACCCTACCTCCTCCGGAAAGAAAAAGAGAGAGAGGGAGAGAGCGAGCGAGCAGAAAAACGCCGAGCCCCTACAGCTCAGATCTCAAATCTTCCTCCTCCTCCTCCTCCACCTCCTCCAAACACACAACAACCACCACCACAAATCCGCTGCGCTCCCAAAACACCCCCCCGATTGCAAACCACAGAACTGCCTGCAACACACACGCTCGCAGAGGGAGCGAGAAAGCTAAGAGGGAGAGAGGGGAGAGGAGCCTGCAGCAAGCAGCTTCTCAGCAGAACGGCTACATTGCACAAGCTGCTTTTTTGGAGGAGCTCAGTGGAAGAAAGCTCTGGGATTTTATTTTAGATCCACTTTGTTTTGTTTTCTTTGGCTTTTCCCTTTCCTCTTGATCAATTTGCAACAGCAGCAAAAAAAAAAAAGTGACTTGGTGTTGGCGATCCGGCCTCCTGTTCATTGAGGAAAAAAAAGGAAAGTGTGTGTGTGTAAGACTAAGTGATTTTTAGTAGCAAAGAAAACCCACCCCGATCCGGAGAGGTGTTTTGATTATTATTATAGTGTATACACGCACACACGAATTTATAATCGATCTGGGGAGAGGCACCTAAGTTTGCTGTGGACTTTTTTTTTTTTTTAACGTGGTGATCATTCTTACTCTAATTTGCAAGTTGGACTAAAGCAGAGTTTGGAAAAGAATTTTTTTTTGCTTTAGGGCTGGATTTATTTGCAAACCGCAGGAAGAAGAAAATACAAGAGAGAGAGGGGTTTGGTGCAGCGCCGCGATCACGGTGAGAGCCTTTTCCTTCTTTGCAAAACAAGCTTTTCAGTAACCTC